GAACCGTGAGTCGTTGAAGACACTGACATTAAAGCAAACCTGACTTTTTTTTACTCAGGGATTTATGTTGGAAATGTGATGAAAAAATAGCTTTCTCTTTTAACTTAGAAGAAAACATGGGGTTATTTAGGGAAAAAAAGTTAGTTTTGGGTTCAGATGCTTCAACGTAGAATTTGTACCAAAACATTTGTGGGAAGAAAAGTTTGCATGTAAAAGACATTTGAAGTTAAGAGTGACATCATCTGCAGATTTAACTTATCAAGAAAATCTCTCATGCAGGCTTCTTTTTTACTTGTTTTTTTTTTTCAAATGTAAATTTTTGCATACAGTTTATTTGTAATGCATGCATATTATACAGGGTGTATCAGAAAAAAATGATACTCTCAGAAAAATTGCCATAAAATGAACATAGATAATAATTTTGAAAATGTGGGTGTAACCTTTGGTGGAGGGGATCATTCTGCTTCGAACGACTCCAAAATCTTAGTTAACGCTTCACGCTCCAGTGAGCAGGGACAGTTGGAAATTCACAAAATTCATGTCCTTTGCGCAAGGAAATGTGAGGGTTCAAATATGATCCGCCACATAAAATCAAAAGTTCAGATGGTGTTTTACACGCATGCCAAGGCGTTTTTAAAATAATTAATGCTTTCATGTCCTAACGTCGAAACAAAAATGTCTCATCTTTGAGTGGATCATAACCAAGGGTTAACAAATGCATGTGAAGTGGCCGTGGACAAGTCAGTCCAGCCAACTAACCTTACATGTATTCAGTAGGTATTACATGTAATTATTCCATTACCTGCTACAAGATCATGTGATTGTGTGGTCATTTTCTTTCATTAAAACACGATCACAAACATCACCTTATCTGATGCAGACAATTGCAACAATTTTTCCGAGCCGTCTCACTGTCTTCCGCAACGTTAACACGTATTGTGATTCTGGGACCAGCCACAATCTCAACAAGAGGAGGTCCGGCCAACAAAGGACCCAACATTGCACACCAGCCAACACTGAAGCAGTCAGAACCCTCTTCGAAGAGCAACCTGCTGGAGAAGCATGAGAACTATAACTCATGTTGAAACTGCTCAAGGACAGTGCYAACACTTTTCGTTTGGAGGTARTCAGTAGCCAGGAAAGACCTATGCTGAGCGGTGAACTGCGGTCGGGCCATTTTACARCAGGCTAAGGRAGGAAGAGKGACAACTGCACAGGTGCTGACAGGTTTTATGTCCAGYAATTATGCAATTGTCTGCATCAGATAAGGTGATGTTTGTGATCATGTTTTAATGAAAGAAAATGACCACACGATCACATGATCTTGTAGCAGGTAATGGAATAATTACATGTAATACCCACTGAATACATGTAATGTTAGTTGGCTGGACTGACTTGTCCACGGCCGCTTCACATGCATTTGTCAACCCTTTGTTATGATCCACTTAAAAATGAGATATTTTTGTTTCGACGTTAGGACACGAAAAGGTTAATTATTTTAAAAACGCCTCGGCACGCGTGTAAAGCACCATCTAAACTTTTAATTTTATGTGACGGATCGTATTTGAACCCTCACATTTCCTTGCGCAAAGGACATGAATTTTGTGAATTTCCAACTGTCCCTGCTCACTGGAGCGTGACGCGTTAACTAAGATTTAAACAAGATTTTGGTGTCATTCGAAGCAGAATGATCCCGTCTACCAAAGGTTACACCCACATTTTCAAAATTATTATCTATGTTCATTTTATTGCAATTTTTCTAAGAGTGTCATTTTTTCCTGATACACCCTGTAGTTGTTCGTTTTGCGGTTTATTACATCCGGCACAGTATTTAAAAATCATRACGATTTTAGCATTTTTWWRC